GCATAAAGAGACATGAACATACTATATAAGGGACTATCTTGAGTTTTCAAGATATATAATGAAATAATACATTAGGCTGTCAAAATCAAAGATCTTAATTTACCATAGTCATGTTATGATATGTTAAAATTAATGGTAGCACGTATGGTTTCTGCCACAGAGTATCACATTTTTTATATGTTTGTGAATTTCAGCCGTAATGAGAATGTTTTCTTTGTCCGGGGTGGGTGTGGTCTTGATTGGAAATATGCTTCATCTCTCTTCAAGAATAAAAAGATTATTGATTAAAATTAAATAAATGAAAAAATTATAGAATGGAAAAAAGTTTTTAAAAAATAGTATGTTGATGGAGAAAGAGATGAAATTTAAAAAAAGAAATAGAAAATGTTTCTTAACTTGTGTCACAATTGACGGTTAATGAAAGTTATAGATGTAAGTTTTTTTTAGAGATAGAAGTTAACTATTCAATCGTTAACCAACAAAAGTTATCAAGTACTCATATTATTTATATAAAAGATAAAGGGCAATTTTGAAAAAAAAATAGATTACGCCAAAAACTTGTATTCTCTTTATATGTAGTTATAGATGTAAAATTTTATTTTTTTTTATATTATTTTATTTTGTATAAAAATTATAAGTTATTTTACTATTTAATTTAAAATTGATGCTTATTTTCCTATCACATTTTTAATTATTTATTACTTTCTTTTCTTCTAATTTTTTTTCTTTCAGAATCATCAATAAAAGATAATTTTTTAAACTCTTTATAATCTTTTTTTTCTTATATAAAATTAATTACAATTTTACGTATCATTAAAGTGACATATAATATAATAAAAAAGTAGTAGAACTTTGAAATTATTGTAACATATATTAAGGAAATAATATAATTAAAAATATATATTAAAATTAATTTGAAAATCAAAATATTAATTTTTTAAAAGTAAATATCATTTTAAATGTGATAATTATTATAAGAGAAATGCTATCGAGTGTTTCTGAAACATTAGTTAAGATATTAAAATGATATTTGAAAATTATTTAAGAGTTTAAAAAATATATGTTTTTTATATGTATTAAATATACTCAAAATAAAAATAAAATTATATATATTCAATAAATTAAATTAAAAATTCTTAATTAATGTCTCGGATAAAACCCGCAATAGAGATGTAAATTTGTTTTACAAAAGAAAAAAAAAAACAATTTTTAAAATTTTTGTTTTTTCTAAAAAAAATAAAATAAAACATATATTGAAAGTTTGAAACAACCTGAGTTTGACATCTCTTTTGGTTTTTTTTGTCCTATTTATTTTCCTTTCTCGGATGTTGTTGTATTTCTATGCATAAATATGTAACTTTTTGAACACAACAAGACCAATTTTCGATTCTTCCAATTTTTCGACTGTATAAATTGACCTTACTTGTATCGCTAATTAGTCTTTGCGACAAATACCAACAACCCTCTTTCCCTTTGATTCTCTTCTTATACTCCGTCTTCTACTTCGTTTTACCCTCTCTCACTATTCTCTCATTTTTCCATTGCATCCACCTCGTTTTTCTCGCCAAAATCATTATATAACACAAGGTATATCATTTTTTCTCTATTTCATATTTGTCTCTGCTTCTTTTTCTCGCTGTTTTCTTTGATTATTTGCATCTGGGGTAATCTCATTCGTTTTATTCATGATTTTCAACGTAGTATATGATTATTTGTTTCATTGTTCTCTTTCCTATAGATCTGCAATTACTTTGTTTCATATTGTTTGTTAGGCTGTTGCAACACTAACGTATTGGTTTAATGTGTTTTTCTGCTTTCAAATCTTTCAGATTATGGCTTCTGAAGTATGTAACCATGCTATTGGGACTTTGCAGTCTCATTCTTATCTTAGTGGTTTGAATCACTGCCGGAATCTCGGTTCGCTAAGGTTTGCGACAAAGGATTTTGTCTCTAGTAATAATGGCTTGTCAAAGGGAAGAAGTAGCCACTTTGGTCGGAGGAATTGTTCTGTAATTCGGTCTTCGGCTTCTCATTCTCAGACGTCGGTTGTTGATCCGGTGTTGTCCCCTTCAAGAAGCAACACCGGTGACAGTTATAAGAAATCAAGTATGATAAACTTTCCTGTTAGTTTTATTTATTGCTATCGTTCTGTGTCGAAAATGTTTTTGTTGATTGGTTATCGAAGTTGGATCGCGATTTTTAGGTTGTTAGACATTCGAAAAGTTGAAATTGTCATGATTGGATGTTAATGTTATTGTTATCTAACTACTGTTATCTTTGTTCTGAATCAGATGAGGCGGCTTTGATCCTTATTCGACACGGCGAGTCGTTGTGGAATGAAAAGAATTTGTTCACAGGTTGTGTTGATGTACCACTTAGTAAGAAGGGTATTGATGAGGCGATCGAAGCTGGAAAAAAGATTAGTAACATTCCTGTTGATGTCATATTTACATCTGCGTTGATTCGTGCACAAATGACAGCGATGCTTGCGATGACCCAGCACCGCCGTGGGAAGGTAACAGAAATAGTCAACTACTTCAGGTCTCATAGAGTGACACAATATGTAACGCAGAAAATCAGGCAATAGAAAAATTGATAGGTTTTGTTATACTGGTTATTGCTGGTTATGTACATAGAAGTGATTAAATTCTCGTCTACACATTCCAAGATTATCTTCTGCACTGTATTGAAATATCGTTTTCAATAAATTAACCATCAACCTGCCTACAGGTGCCTGTTGTTTTGCACGACGAGAGTGAGCAAGCAAAAGCATGGAGTCAAGTTTTTAGTGAAGATACAAAAAAGCAGTCAATTCCAGTCACAACGGCTTGGCAACTAAATGAAAGAATGTAATAATCTTTTTCTTGGTCTTAATGTTTGAAACTTTATGAATAACACGGATCCGTTTTATTGGTGTATTCATAAATTATTGTCGTCCTTTCAGGTATGGAGAACTACAGGGTCTCAATAAGCAAGAAACAGCAGACAGATACGGAAAAGAGCAAGTCCATGAGTGGCGCCGAAGCTATGATATACCTCCTCCCAATGGTGAAAGTTTGGAAATGTGCGCTGAAAGAGCAGTTGCCTATTTCAGAGACCAAGTACGTTGAAATTTAATTTGTAGTGTGCTTGTAGTTTGATATATATTGTAACTTTAAAAGTCAAATTTTATACAGAACTGATCCATCGATATCAACGCTGCAGATTGAACCCAAACTTTTATCGGGAAAGAATGTTATGATTGCAGCACATGGGAATTCATTGAGATCCATTATCATGTATCTCGACAAGTTAACTTCCCAGGAGGTGATTGGACTAAGAATTAGTTTTGCTATTAATTTGCATACGAACTATATAGACACGACACCGACACATTTGAAAAAAGGCGTGACTGTGTCGGACACCTACACCGATACTTGTGATTACGTTTAATTTATTCATTTTTTCAAATTATTATCAGTGTGGTCGTATCAGTGTTGGTGTTGTGTTTGAGGTGTCCGTGCTTCATAGGTTTTCCTTGCTTTTTGACAGGTCATTAGTCTAGAACTGTCAACCGGAATTCCAATGCTTTACATCTTCAAAGAGGGAAGGTTCATTAGGAGGGGGAGTCCTATAGGACCAACTGAAGCTGGAGTTTATGCCTATACCAAGGTATGCATTTTATATCCTCTTTTATAAAACTAAGCATGTTTCATATTACTCTTCTTGTAATCATGTTTCATATCTAGCTCTTATGTTGGAAAAGCCAACAAGATTTACATTAATTGAATTTCATGATTGTGGACTATATCTTGAACTTTTAATTGCTTATGCCTTATATCCTTAGTTTGACATATTTACCTATGTAATAGTAATATCAAGTTTGATTTACCTATTCTTATCCCTTTTTCTTTCTGGTGGAATTGTAAGTTTCAGAGTACCTTAGATAAATCTAATCCTAATAGAAAGTTGTAACATTTTCACCTGTTAATTTTCTTGATTAAAATTATTTCCTTTGGCTTTCTAAATGTTAGTTGTCCTGAGAAATATGTCTTGGGCTGTGAAGTAATTCAGTTAGGAAACTGTTGAGTTATAGTGTTCCTCGATGTTTGAAAACAAGCGGCAGTTGTTCCTCAAACTTCAGACTGTATTTGTCAAGTTATGATTGAGAGAAAACCTGTAGATTTTGTGGTAAGGAGAGTAGATCAGATGAAGATGATTCAAACAGGTAGAAGTAGAGATAGAGGAAGGCCTAGAAAAACTATAAGAGAAGTTATTAAGATTAATGGTTTGGAATTGGATAGAAACATGGATCTGGATAAAACATTATGGTAGAAGTTGATCCATGTAACTGACCCTACTTAGATGGATAAGGCACAACTATTGTTCTTGTATACTATATAGATGAAATCATCTTATTTTTCTTAAATCTTATTTTGAACTAATTTCACAATGCATACTAACAACTCTACTTGCTGGTTACAGCATTTGGCTCTTTATAGACAGAAGTTGGACGAGATGTTCCAATAATAATATTATTTAGGTAAGAACTAGTTACTTTTTTTTGTTTCCCTCTTTCCTCTATCAATATGCTAAATTTTGATTCAGATTGTTTCACTTTCAGGAAATACTTCCACAGATGAATCACCTAAGGGGAGGTTGTTCTCAGTGTTACTGCTAGGCGCCTTCAATATTAGCACAATATTTCTAAAGCTAGGTTGTTATGGTTGTTCTAGCATAGTTTTGAACCTTTGTATTAGTAGACTAGCTTCAAACTTTAGATACATTGTTATAATTGTAAAAATACGAGTTCGTCGAAATACTGTAATACTTAATGAAGTTTTTTCAACAATAAACAAGGATTGCTCCATGATGGAGGGGTAAAATTCTGCTGAATGCAAGTATGTATTCTGTCTTTTATTTTTGAAGGTCATAGCTTCAAAGTTACAAATCATTATAAATCCAAGATAAAGTTTACACCATGTCTCTTAAATGTAGGTTTCAAACTAGAATATCATAGCTCATACTTCAAGTGATTTCTCAGGGTTAGGAATAGAGGAACCAAGTGTTTTCTCATTGTTGGAAGCATCAGAATCTGCTTCTGTTTCTGACCCAGTTGAATCAGAAGAAGGAATATTGCGCGAGAGCAACGATAGCGAGTTTGTCTGTGTCCATAATGAGTGCATCTTGTTATCTTCCTCTTTCATTCTCTTAGCATATTTATTCATGTCAAATTCTGTGTCGTTGTTCCCACCAAACGCAGGTTCAAGTTGATCCATATCGAACAAACCCTCCATAATCTTCTTTGTATTTTGGTCGTTCGAATAAACAAACTTTACCTTTTTGTAACTCTCAGACTCAAGCAGAACCTTTACCATCTGCAACAGTTCATTCTTTTACATTACAAAATAGTCCTGGATTCATTCTTTTGCAGCATGTATTTAAAATTTCACCGAAACAGAAAAGATAAGAGTGTCGTGTTTTGTTACCGCGAAGAATGGTTGGAAAATTCCAGGTGCATCATACATGATTGCCAATCCGAGTCGCTGTGGATAGTACTTTTGTAATATATGGCTAATTTCACGAGTCATCTTGAATGATACATTTGATAAATTGAAACCATGAAAATCAATCAGCCAGACCACCTGTTCCTGGAGAGGTGGTAGATTTAAAACTGCATTCTCCATGCAGTAAACAAAATGCTTAATCTCTTCTTTTAACGACTTCGAATTCTGCAGCACAAACAGAATCATTCTTCAGTTTTCGTTCTCTGCAATAGAGATGATGATATATAGTATTAAAATTGATTCTCAGAAGAAACCTGGCGATCCGTTCGCATTATAATCACCGGCCTTCCATGCTTGTCACAATAATTTGCTCTATACATTTTCCCTATCTTTGCTTCATTAGAAACATCGTCCTTAACCAACAAAAAAACCACATGTTAAATAACTTCATTAGAGTGATTGATGACAGAGAAGAAGTAACTCACCCAGCGAATCTCTTCGGGTTTGTACTCCCGTCTCCATTTCAGGCTTTGCTTCAACATCTGTGACGCTTTCTTAACATTCCAATTCTGCGATTTTAAATACCTTGAAATGGATGCATCAGTACAATACACAGATTCCTTATCCGATAATGTTCCTATCACCTTTCTCACCTCAATGATCTGAAATACAGCAAAATGTTTAATATTTTCATGTATCCGCACAAGAGTCCAAAGAACCAGTTTGATAATTGGACATACCTTTGCCTGTTGCTCTTGAGACATTTTCTCATGGCCAACAGAACCGGTTTTCTTCAGATCCTCACTCATAGTAATAACTGTATAAAAACAATCTAAAAATTAAGAATGAACACTTGAAGAAGCCAAAGTTTTGAAGAAAAGAAAATGTATTAAAGTGATACAGTTTAGTTTGGTTTCTTGATTGAAAGATAGCATTGAATTTATAACCACTTTGGTTATTACTATTATTGCCTTAACACAGTTAATAAGTTTGGTCAACTTTGTTAGAAAGTTATTTTCATTTATGTGATGGTGTAAGTAATCTAAAACTTCCCTCATACACAATTTATTGAGTACATTATTGTCCACTCTGCCATATTTTCCAACAGTTTATTTATGTTTCGAGAGAAACAACATTATTAACTTTTGGTAAATCTTGTCAGAGTAGTTGGTAAAGTAGGAAGGAAGATGTTATACTAGTATCAATATCAGTATCATATACAAGTGCAGTACCGATTGTAAAAGTAAAATGCAAAGTAGAGAGATAAATGGAAAGAAAATTACTAAGATGGAAAGAAAATGCGAGGAAGGAAAACAATTATTCAAGCTTATCCTGTGATAGGAGGAGTAATGTGGAATGTGGTATTTATGGGTTTATAAGCGCACGCTGTCACTACCGTACTCAGCTATAAATAACTATACACAGTGTGATGCCAATGAATGCGTGCATGTGGAAACCAAAACATCACTCTTTTTCTCTAATGTTTTCTACTCACATCTCACCGCAACAAATTATAAATGAATTATTACTTTTTTTTTTGTTGCTATAAAGGTAAAAAAAAAGAGAAAAAAAAGAGAAAGAAAGTATAATTTTAAAAATAAAGTTCTTATTCAATTTTGAAGGAGCGGAGTTGTGAATGAGGAGATCATATTAGCGAATGCAACGAGTACGAATTTGGTCAATAAAATTAGTATTTTGATTGTATTCATAGAGGACGTGGATAACTCAAAATCTAGTGTTTTTAAGTAAAGTATCTTTAATATTTTAGATTAATAGTGCATGTCTATAATATTTATTTAAGGGAGTCTCATTACACTACTACAAAAATGATTTTGACAGCACATAAAAGACAACGTTTTTTGTAAAAGCACGGCTAAAGAGTCCGGAAAAAAAATAGCAGACTTTAGACACTGCTTTTAGAAAATCGTTGCTAAAGGTGGCAGTTATAATTAACAATAGAAAACGCTTTATAAAAAGCGCTGTTAAAGCTAGGCCCTACGAAAGCGCTGCTATAGGGGTAACCTACGAGAGCGCTTTCAGAAAGCATTGCTAAAGTGGTAACCTACGAAAGCACTTTCTAAAAGCGCTGCTAAAGGTGTAAGTCTAAAAAGCACTTTTAGAAAAGCGCTGCTATAGGGGGTACAAAAGAAAGCGCTTTTATAAAAGCGCTGCTATAGGTACTGCCTAAGGCAGACCTTAGAGAGCGCTTTTATAAAGCGCTGCTAAAGGCCATGCAAAAGCGCTGCTATAGGTTTAAGTAGCATAAATTTTAAAAAAACTCATAATTTTTCATAAACAGAACAGTTGTGGTTTTGCCTTCTTTCCCACTCGCGATAGAATCCTACTCACCGTCGACCACTTCCGTCCATTGCCTCCGTCCGTTCGTTTTCACCGTCCGTCTTCGTCCTCCACCTCCTCTGTCAGCCATTTCCACCATTTTTAAGGTATTTGAAGTTTTTTTAAAATGTTTTTGATGGAAACAAATAATGTTGATGTTGTTGTTGTTAGTGTTGATGTTAATGTTGTTGTTGATGTTGTTGATGGAAACAAATGATGTTGTTGTATGTTAATGTTATTGTTGATGTTAAAATGACAATGTTGATGGAAACAAATGATGTTGTTGCATGTTAGTGTTGTTGTTGATGTTAAAATGATAATATTGATGGAAACAAATGATGTTAATGTTGTTGTTGTTAGTGTTGATGTTAATGTTGTTGTTGTTAGTGTTGTTGTTGATGTTAAAATGATAATGTTGATGGAAAAAAATAATGTTAATGTTGTTGTTGTTAGTTTTGATGTTAATGTTGTTGTTGTTAGTGTTGTTGTTGATGTTAAAATGATAATGTTGATGGAAAAAAATAATGTTAATGTTGTTGTTGTTGTTAGTGTTGATGTTAATGTTGTTGTTGTTAGTGTTGTTGTTGATGTTAAAATGATAATGTTGATGGAAAAAAATAATGTTAATGTTGTTGTTGTTAGTGTTGATATTAATGATGTTGTTGATATTGTTGATGAAAACAAATGTTGTTGTTAGTGTTGATGTTAATGATGTTGATGTTGTTGATGAAAACAAATGAATTAATTTCGTATATATGTTAATGTTATTGTTGTTGATGGAAACTTGAATTAAGTAACGATAATGTTGTTGTTGATGTTGTTAGTGTTGATGTTAATGATGTTGATGTTGTTGATGAAAGTAAATGAATTATTTATGTTTGTTAATTTTGATCGTTTTCAAGAATTATTTAATATTGATGATGTTAATTTTGTCTGTTATAGGGGTTATCTGTGAAGAGCAAGATTGTGATCGTTTTCAAGAATTCTACTATGTAGTTCTAGAAGTTGATAATTTCTCTACAGGTGCTACAGGTATTCACTGTTTTTGTTTAGCTTTCTTAGTTTAGTTTAGCCTACTTAATTAGTATGGATAAAAAATGGATGTCTTCTAATCGATTGTCAAAAGAGTACGAGAATGGGGTATCAAAATTCGTTAAGTTTGTTGTTGAACACGCCAAAGACCCCAGTAGAATCACATGTCCTTGCTTAGGTTGCTGTTATGGGCGTCGGATTGATGCAGTTCAGTTGGAATCTCATTTAATGAGACATGGAATTGATTGAAGTTATACATGTTGGACATTACATGGTGAGATAAGTAACGAGAATGTCGAACCGGGGGATGATACGACGTATGCTTCAAATGACAATGGCAGGGATACATATGATTGTGATCGAGTCGAAGAGATTGCAGAAGTACTTGAAGAAGATCTTCAGGATTGTCCCAAGATGTTTGAGAGGTTGGTAAGCGATGCAGAGAAACCGTTGTATAAAGGTTGCACTACTTTCACAAGATTGTCTGCGGTATTAAAATTGTACAACTTAAAGGCGGGTAATGGATGGTCGGATAAAAGTTTCACAGAGTTATTAGCCCTTATGAAAGAGATGCTTCTGGAGGATAATGTTCTTCCCAATCGAACCTATGAAGCTAAAAAAATATTATGCTCTATTGGCATGAGCTATGATAAGATACATGCTTGTCCAAATGATTGCATTTTGTTTCGAAATGAATATGCATCATTAAACGAGTGTCCTAAATGCGATGTATCTCGGTATAAGAAAAAGTTGTCACCAACAAAAGTCTTATGGTATTTTCCTATAATTCCGAGATTTAGACGCATGTTTCATAGTGAAACAGATGCAAAACACTTGACTTGGCATGCAGATGATAGAATTATAGATGGGAAGTATCGACATCCGGCAGATTCACCACATTGGATGAAAATTGATAATGAGTATCCTGATTTTGGAGAAGAAGCTAGAAACCTTTGTTTGGCATTATCAACTGATGGAATGAATCCGCATGGTCTACAAAGTATCTCACATTCCACATGGCCTGTAATTATTATGATTTTAACCTACCTCCATGGCTATGTATGAAGCGTAAGTACATGATGTTATCCATGTTAATTTCTGGCCCTAAACAACCAGGGAATGACATAGACGTATACTTGACACCTTTAATCGAAGACTTAAAGAGTTTGTGGGAGAACGGTGTGGAGGTTTATGATGGATATAGGAAAGAAAGTTTCAATTTGAGGGCGATGTTGTTTGGCACAATTAATAATTTTCCAGCATACGGAAATCTATCGGGGTATAGCATTAAAGGTCTGTGTGTGTGTCCTATATGTGAAGAAAACACAGATTGGACGCGATTGGAATGTGGTCATAAGAATGTCTTTCTTGGTCATCTTAGATTCTTAAATTCTAATCATCACTACCGTGGGTGGAGAAAAATATTCAATAGAAATTCAGAACAAGGTAGAGCTCCACCTACATTGACCGACGAACAAATTTTTGAAAAGGTGAAAGATGTGAGTACTAAGTTTGGCAAGCCTTTTGCTCATACGCTTGTCACGCGTGGGTGGAAGAAGAGGTCAATTTTGTTTGAGTTGTCGTATTGGAAGTCGTTGTATGTAAGACATTTTCTTGATGTTATGCATATTGAAAAAAATGTATTTGAAAGTGTTATTGGTACGTTACTCAATATACAAGGAAAGTCTAAGGATAACCTTAAAGCAAGAAAAGACTTGGTAGCGATGGGAATAAGAAATGAATTAGGACCCTTGAATAAATAAAATCGAACATATCTACCACCTGTTGCTTATACTTTATCTAGAAAGGAGAAAAAGATATTGTGTAAGTTTCTAAGTGAAGTTAAAGTTCCAGAAGGATACTCTTCAGATATTAGAAGACTTATTTCTATGAAAGACCTCAAGTTAAAGAGTTTAAAGACACGTGATTGCCATGTTATAATGGAACACTTTCTACCAATAGGTATACGTTCTATGTTGCCGAGAAAGTTGAGAAGCGCAATAACTAAATTGTGTTTGTTCTTCAGGTCAATTTGTAGTAAGGTGATCGAACCTGCGATCTTACCAACATTGCAAAAAGAAATAGTTATTACTTTGTGTGAGCTTGAAATGTATTTTCCTCCATTATTTTTTGACATAATGGTACATCTAGTTGTTCATCTTGTGAAAGAGACACAATTGTGTGGACCAGCTTATATGAGATGGATGTACCCTGTTGAACGTTATATGAAAATATTGAAAGGGTATGTGAAAAACCGAAGTCGACCAGAGGGTTGTATTGTTGAACGATATATTGTTGAAGAAGTGATTGAGTTTTGTACTAAATATTTGTCCAATGTTCAATCCATTGGCCTCCCAAAATCTCATGTTGTTGAAAAAATAGTAGGAAAACAGTTAATTGGAAATAAAGTTGTGACAGTTTCAAGGGATGAACGGGAGCA